GGCTATTATAAATAATGCTGCTATGAATATTCATGTTCAAGGTTTTGGATGTATGTTTTCATTTCTTTTTGGGTATATGCCTAGTAGTGGAATTGACTCTTTCCCTTTGAAGAATCTTCCTCCTTAGTAACTATTTCTAATATTTTGAGGAACTATCTAGCTTCCTCAGAGTGGCTGCACCATTTTACATTCCTTCCAACAGTGTATGAGGGTTTCAATTTCTCCATGTCTTCGATAACATGTGTTATCTGTCTGATTGTAGCCATCTTGTAGGTGTAGAGTGGTGTCTCCTTGCAGTTTTAATTTGATTTGGTTTTGATTTGGAATTTTCCTAATGGCTAATGATATTGTTCCCTTTGAAGACTCTTCCTCCTTAGTAACTATTTCTAATATTTTGAGGAACTATCTAGCTTCCTCAGAGTGGCTGCACCATTTTACATTCCTTCCAACAGTGTATGAGGGTTTCAATTTCTCCATGTCTTCGATAACATGTGTTATCTGTCTGATTGTAGCCATCTTGTAGGTGTAGAGTGGTGTCTCCTTGCAGTTTTAATTTGATTTGGTTTTGATTTGGAATTTTCCTAATGGCTAATGATATTGAGCATCTTTTTATGTTTTTGTTGGCTGTTCGTATATCATTTTTTAGCAAAATGTTTATTTAGATTCTTTGCCTACTTTTTAATTGGGTTATTTATCTCTTTATATTGAGTCCTAAGTGTACTTTATGTATAAGAGATGCAAGTTCCTTATGAGATATGTGGTTGTTAATGTTTTCAGTGTTTTCTCCTGTACTGTGGATTGTCTTTTCACCTTTCTGAGGGTATCATTTGAAGTATACAAGTTTTTAATTTTGATGTTCGAATTATCTATTTTTTCTTTTGTCCCTTGTGTTTTTTGTGTCATCTAAGAAGGCTTTGCCTAAGCAATGGTCTTGGGAGAAGTACAGGTGGAGCAGGTTGGGGTTGGAAATAGGAATCCTGTGGTGAAATGGAGACGAGAGAAGTGTGTAGAAGGGGATTAAGTTTTGGGTAAGAAGAAATTTTCACTTAATAAGAAGGATTCTGGGCCTCCGAATATCAGTTTTATGTCTTTATATGTTTAAATTGAGTAAGGACGCAAACTTTACACATTGTTCTTCCCCTTTCCCATAGGGGTTTCATTCTCTTCCCGGGGTGGTCTGCCCATGTGTCTTTTCCTACCACACCCATGTGTCTTTGAGATCCTCCCACATTAGTACATACAGGTCTACTTCATTGTTAACACCCATATAGTATTCTAGTGTAATGTTGAACCTTAAAATATCTATCAGTCCCCTGTGATACTTTATCATAGCACAAAAAATGTGTGTAGGAACCAACACGTAAGTGCACATCCTCATCCTTGTATAAATGTGTGTTTGGCCTTTGTATGCATAATTAAAATAAATTCCTAGCAGTGGAATTGATCAGTTAAAGAATTTATTTATTTTAGATTTTAGTAGGTATTGCTAAATATTTCCTGAAAGATTCCATGATAAACTTTCCACGAAATGTATGAGAGTACCTACTGGACCCGTTACCTAGCAACTGTTACTGAGCATCATCAGTGTTTTAATTTTTATAAATCTGATGGGTTAATGATGGTATCCTGTTTATTAATTGTGTGAAATTGAACATATTTTTTAAATGTGTTTTGACCATTTTTTTAATTGCTTGCTTGTACCCTTTATCATATAGAATTTATACTTTATTTCAGTTGTTCAGTGGAAGGCACCAGCAACAGTATTATTTTACATGGAAAATGAGGAGGAGGACTTATGGTTTGATTACTCACTACCTCCAATTTTTAGAGTCCTTAGGACATGAGATTCTCTCTATGTATTCTCTTTAATTCTCCTTTTGATTGCATGAGTTTTTGACTGTAAAATGCTCTCAGTCACCATGAATGACACAGTAGTCAGTGCTTGACTTCCTCTCTTTTCTTCCTTCATATTGATCTCTCACTTTATACCAGGTCTTGTGGGAGGCAGGCAGCTTATCTGGTGTGTTGTGATGAAGACTCTGGAGTTTCCTGCACATCTGATGTGTGAGTTTGTCTGCCAGGCCTTCACAAAACCTGACTTCTGAGTGGGGCCAGCCAAGGCCAAGGTCACCTAGCAGCCTAGCAATTTGGCTTACCCTTCAAATCAATGTGCTTTAAATGGTTATTAGAGGAGAAGTGCTTCATGTAAGTAAAGAGTGGGAAAGGGTCTGCAGATTTAGGTCAAATTTGGCTGTTTCCTGGCCTTATCTTCACTCTGCACAGCAAACCTGAACCATCTCCAGGGAAGGAAATTATTTACTCAAATTCGTTCATAGGGGTTTCATTCTCTTCCCAGGGTGGTCTGCCCAAGTGTCTTTTCCTACCATACCCAGTGTACTGACAAGACTATTTCCCCCTCTAATTTACGCTTGATGTTTAGTGTCCCTTTGGTTTACCCTTCAGCGCAGCCTTAATGTCAACATGTATGAAGTAAGGTGACTGAATTTTCTTTAAACAAACCTATTTGAATTTGTGTTTTAGGGAATGTTCAGTCTCAACAATTTAGTTCACACTTAAAATTGCTTAAAACAGCACTTGCAACACATTCCTTTTGAATGTTCTCAGAGGTGACGAGTTTTATTCTTTGTTAAAATTTCTTTCCCCAGTAGCCTGAGTTTTTAAACCTCAGTGTAGTGATTCGGAGTGGGGATTGAAGTTAACTATAAAGTCATGAGAGGAGCCTTTTTGAGGACCCTCAATACAGTCTTGGAGCAGTGGTTCCTAAATGCAGCTGTTGGGCTATGGATTTTCTTCACTGGACAATGCTCTCACGTGATTTTTCATTGTTTCAGAGTCTTCATGGACCCTCTGAAAATTTATCTGAGAACTCTTTCTGAATGACTATAAAAGACATTAATTTTCATGTATTCGTTCTGAGACTTTGTTTTAAGGCTTTTTCTTTATGCGAGAGATACTATTTGTGGATGTTGAGGTTAGAAAGAGGCCAGTTTGTATGTCTGTGTAATACAGGAGGTCTATTCAAATTTTGGCAGCTTTCTCACTTTACATTTCAGGTACTTAGAAACCCATAAAAGGGACCATCTGTAGCTAAAGGAGAGGAAATGGTGGACAGATCTGAAAGGAGCTTGCAGAGAATGTTTCACCACAAAGTTGAAATCTGAGGAGAAAAAGTCAAGCATATTTGAGAATAATGCCAAATCTGAAGTAATATACATTGTTTTTCAAGTGGTTGCCATTTTATCTCTTCTAAAATGAGATTATGCATGTGAAAGCAGTTAGCCAGTAGGTTCTCAGTACATTAACTGATACATTTCCGAGTTTCAAAAATATTTTGTGATAATAGCGTTTCCCCTCTTCTAACGCTTTCAAGGTTTTTCATAAACTTGTATTTTTAACCCTGTATTTTTTCATTATAGCAGAATGAAAACCAGAATGTCAGGCTGTTACCTCAGTCTTTAAAATTTTGGCTTTCTATGCTTTTTCTTTAAAAAATATTGTCAAGGGGGAGGAAAAAATCTCTTTTCATATGAGAATAGTCTATATCCTGAACAAGCATAAAAGGCACCTACTGTTTTAGAGCATCCGTGGGTGCTTCACACAACCTTTTAGATTTAGAGGAGGCTGTTTATTGAAAGGAAGAGTTTCATTAACCACAGCAAATGTGGCAGAAGTGGAAATGTTGTTCTATTTTTGGATTTCCTCTGTGTTTGCTTTGAATTCATCTACTGATCTAATCTCTGTGTTCACCAAGCCTCCAGGCAATGCTGTGCTTGTCAAACTCATCAAATCATTCTAGGGAGAGAGCTTTTTAGTATCCTGGAGGAGGGTTTTTAAGGAATACAGGATTTTTGTAAAAATGGAAGAATGACTAGAGGTAGGTTAGTTATGTAACTTTTCAGATGAAAAGCTAACTGACAGCTGTGGCTAGAACTCTTAACTGATGGGAAATTGGGAACTGAAGCCTATTGAGAATGGATGTTTTTACTTCTTACTGAAAGTAACTTGTGGTGTGATACTTGACATTTAGGTTCTGCTTTAGGGTAGCACTTAAGCGTGCGGAGTCAGCTGGTACTGGAACACTTGCTGATTTAGAGTGTAAATGCAAATGAATCTTACTCAAACATCCCTTTTTGAGTTATGTGATTAGTTTGTTTTCTTGTTTTACTTTCTCACAACTCCCCAAACTGGTTTAAGTCAATGAGCAATCCTCACCCACCCATTCCCACCTGCCCCATCAGTACTTTTTGTTGGTGACTGAAGATACTAGACCAAGGTGCAGTCTGCAGTGATAGGTGTAAGACTGGGCAAGTTTACTTACCTAGCACCTGGCCTGAGCTAGTCAAGAAGTGTCCGGGCGGGTGTTTTCCTGAGGGAGCTTCTTCACTGCCTGCTCAGGCTGGGAGGCAGAATTTAGATGAGACGTGCTTTTTTCCCTCCCCATTCGACCATGGTGGGTGGCATGCTATCTGATGCAGCAGGTCCCAAGAGCTATAGGTGGAAGCCACTGCCCAATTCCAGTCACAAAGGGGTCATGTGAAAAGATGTGTGCATGCTTTCAAAACTATTCCAGCGACGCTCAGTTTTTGATCCTGGATTAGGGTTAGGAAGTAGGAGCTAGAGAGTCATCTCATCTCTGAGTTTCCTTAAAATGATGAGATACTAAGATAATAACCAATTTATTCAGTTTTTGATGCTACTCTAAGTCAGAGAAGCACTATCTTAGTTTGTGCTTTAAAGAAATATCCTTATTATACCTTCCTGATTATAGCATTTCTCCTAATAAGACCCCAATTAAAAAGGATCTTTATTTTTCACAAGTGATTGAGAGAATTCCTGGTCAACTTAGAGACAGAACTTCTAAAGAAAAAATAACACTATTGTTCTATGATTTATGTCTTAGTAAAATAACGGCTATTTGTTTTTAAAGTCATTTCTGTATCTGCTTTTTCAAATTAGTTTTTTTTATTTGATTCTTTTAGTTTTTAAGTCTACAGAGGAGTTATTCGGAGCTGGCCATGGTGGGTTTTTCATTTAATTTTGGAACAGTCTGATTGTTTAAATTCTATTCTAGGGAGGAGTGAGTACTTGTTTTTAAAATCCAAAGATTAAAATCTGTTTGCTGCATGGAATTCGGACCCTGAAACTGTCAGGCAGTTCATGGGAATTGTGTCAGTGCAAGATCAGATCCCTAGACCTAAGCTGTCAGTGTCTAAAGTTTCTTCCAGACCAGTTATTTTAACCTATGGACTTTTAACATCATATGAATATGCTTTGCAGCACAGCTATGCTCTATTTAGCCTTTTCCCAAGTAGCTTTATTTGGTATAGTCATTTGTATAACTTGGATAATATACATACACAATTTGGAATGGGAGAATTCATTTGAAGGTGTAGTACCATACCAGCTGTTCCCTTCCAGGCTTCACTGCCATACTCACCGAACCTTAGAGATGCTTAATAAAAGCAAAAAAGGGAAGAGCATACTGTTTATGTAGATTCAGCAAGTAAGATTATTTACCAGTGCCAAAAAGATAATTCTTTAATAGATGGCTTTTGTGTTTTATTTTAGAATCACAAGAAGTTGATGAACAGCTGATAGCAGAAGTGGTTGAAAAATGTTCATCTGAGATTTGTTCTAGACACTCAGAAAATGAGGTATCGCATCAGGCTATCCATTCTTACTCTGTCAAGGATTTCAGAGAAGAACCTGAACATGATATTAGCAAAATTTCAGTAGTGAGGCCATTTTCAATAGAAACCAAGGATTCTGTGGATATCTCAGCAGCTCTTGGAACAGAAGCAGCATATGGCTGTGTAACTGCAGTCACAGGTGAGGCTCTGCCTTCTAGCCCGCCAGAAGCCATCCAGGACAAGGTGATGACAGAAGGCACCATGGGGGTTACACTGGAGGCTTCCACAGAAGCTGATCTAAAGTTTGGGAACTCCTGTCTGCAGCCTGTGCTTAGTAGAAGCAAGCTCAGAAAGCCTAAACCTGTCTCTCTGAGGAAGAAAACAATCGGCGAGTTCTCAGAAATGGAAACTGCTATGGAGGGCATGCCTCTCCCCCAGGCAACCTATCCCGATGAAATGGATGGGAACACAAATCCTTTGCTAGGAGATGCCAGGATCCAGAAATTTCCCCCTGACGTTAAGGAAACATCAAACACTCCCAGTAGTGACACCAATGATTCAGGGGTTGAGCTGCTGGAGGAGTCGAGGAGCTCACCTCTAAAACTCGAGTTTGATTTCACAGAAGATGTGGAAAATGTAGAGTCCAGGAAAGGCCTTCCAAGGAAACTTAGCAGGAAACTCGGTAACAAACTAACTGCCAAGGTACAGAAAGATGGCATCAGTAAGCCCGTAGGCGCCAAAGGTGTCGAACCACCTCTGGACCCAGCCACAGATGATGCTCCTCTTTCTCAAGCATCTTCTAAATTGGATCCTAGTCAGTGGGATAACCCCAACTTCATTCGCTTTGGGGGCCACTCCATGCTGCAGAACTCCCCTCCCCTCTCCTCTAAGGGCTCCTACCACTTTGAGGAATCGGTGGATCCTTTTAAACCAACTATGACTTTAACAAGCAATGACTTTTGTTCTCCTGATGGTAATCATGTTAATGAAATCTTAGATTCACCTAAGAAGGCAAAGTCGCGTTTAATAACGTGAGTGACGATGGGTATGGGTGTTGTGTTCTGTGTACACTCTTGAGAGTTTGGCAGCTGGCTGCTTTGGGTTTTGGTGAACTGAAGTTATCGTGGAGGTGCAATGTAGCAGGCACAAAGCTTATAACTTTATTGCAGTCTTCACTATTCTGTCCAACTTTTCTGTGGAATCAGAAATACCAAAAGTTTTCTTTTTTAGATGTCTGCCTGGTTTCTGAATCCTCAGTTTATTCAGCTGAGCACTTCCCCCCTGCCCCGCCCCCTACCTTGGGTACTTTTTTCCTGTTTGTTTGTTTGTTTGTTTTTTAGTGGCATGAGATAGGTAGAGATTTGATAGTTTTCAGAAATCCTATCTGGGTGGTCAGGAATCACTTTATATACAGTGTCATGGTAGCTACCGTCTTCAGATTCTCTATGGATAAAACAAAAATCCCAAGCCTACAAATTACCTGTCAGGTACCAACAACTTGTAGAAAATGGTCCAGAAGGGTCTTACAGAAGTCTTTCACTTAAAACAGAAAGCTGTGCGTTTTGTTGGAAACAAACATACTACTAAAAGTTGGTGAGAATTTTTATGTCTTTGTAGTTAGCTCTGGTTCCATCAGTAAGGAGGTGAATTTCCAAAAAGAAACAAGAATATTTTAAACGATGACATAAATCTGACTAAATTAGTCTTTTTTCGTGTATTGTCTCCCCTGCTCCCCTTCACTTGGGAAATCTAGAGCCACTCTTACAATGTCCTTGGAGTTTTAGAGTGATCACCTCAGGCCATATTCAATGTCAAATTTCAGTTTAAATTTGTTACAAGATTATCACAAAACTTGAGTCAATGACAATATATCCAGTTTGTGAGTGACCCAGTGACGTTTTGCTAAAAATTAGATGAGAGACTAGTGTCATGGAGGATGAAATATAAAAAGGGAGGATGAGAAGAAGTACTGTATTTCTAGTTGTCACCGTAGATCAGTCAGGGAAATAATCTTCAGCATTACTATGACTTAAAGAAAAATGCTAGATGATGCGGTGAATTATTCTAAAGGGAAAGGTTTAAAGAGCAGAGAGTATCGATCAGGACCAAGAGGCTTGAGCAATGTAGGAATCAGTTCTTCAGCAACCCCAGAGTGTCTAAGGGGAATAAAATGTCATTAGTAGTTCTTGATTTTTTCTTTGAGTATATATGAGCAGGTTAAATGATTGCTGAAAAATATGATTGATCAGAAGTCCTCCAAGTGCTCTCTGTGGCTAAGGTTAGTTACCTTTGTCTAGATGGTGCTTGGAGTATGTGTTGGCCTGGTCATTGCCTTGGTGCTTCTTGATATGGGGTATCCTAAATATGGGGTGCTTCTGCCTAGCAGGGTTGATAAGGAGTCATTTGGGACCCTGCCTTTCAGTTGCATTTTGAAGGAATGTAGCCAGTACATTCATGTTAGATAAGATTAAATCTGGGCCAAAGGGAGGGAAATTTATTTTCAGAAGCAAGAAGCACCCTCTCTTGAGTACTACCACTCTTACCTGGTAGCATTTTTCTCCTATTCTGTTTTTGATGAGTGAACTTCTTGATCTAATATACCTTTAGATATTTTTAAACTCTTATGCAATCAAAACTCTTGTTTCCAAGGGTGCTCAACATCTGTGTAACTCTGAGATTTTGTTTAGCAACTCCCTTCATTTAGGAAAGACTGAAAATATACATGTGGTCATAGAATTTAGTGGAGAGTTGGAAGTTCTGTTAGCTGGTTACTTGTGTGACTTTTTAAAAGGTGTATAATTGGCGTCTCAGATTCTTCTGTGAAATGGAGACATCATACATATCTTCTGTAAAATGGGATTTTGTGCACCAAATAGATATATAAAAATCATTTTAAGTGTCTAAGTGATACATACCTATAGTAGATATAAGCATATACATTTTCAACTATATTTAATTCATGCATTGCCTTTAATCTGGATAACTAGACAGTTAAGAGTAAACGTGCTCAGCAGTGAAATGTTGACTTTTTCATCTATATATTTGAATATGTGGCATCTATATATTTGAATGTTTCTACCACTTTTACTCCATTAGAGTTGAGGTTCCTGATAAATCATTCACTCACCAGTGATAACATTCATGAATATGACATTTTCAATTTGTATCTCACCTTACAGAAAGAATTTTTCAGGCTTTACATCTATCAGACTAGAGATAAATATTCCAGGCTTTACATGATTTTTTTTCTCCATCTGTCTGTCTCTTTCCTGTCTCTAATTTTGTTGGTGCATCAGGACTACTGAACAAGTGAAATTTCTCTGTTTTCTGTTGTAAGTACTCCTGCTGTCATTTTGTTTGTCCCTGGGACTGTTGGCAGTTCTTCTCCCACACTCCATCTTTTCATAGCATGTTGGCTTCCGTTTCTGAGTTTGACCTTCTAATGATTTTTTGCATTTCATTTGCCACTCCATGAGTCAGCTTAGCCTTGCAGTTGTCTGTACCTAAAGAAGTGGAGATCGGCCTTCTCACCTTGGGTGCGAGAGCTTGCGTTCCCTGCCTTGGCACACCTCACGTGGCGCTTTGATACTGAGTGCTGGCTTGGCCCCAGGATCGTCCCAGCAATGTTTTGAGGGACTGCTCTGATACTTAATGTTGGAAATAGTTGGCTTTTTTTGATAGGATAAGGCTGCTGGGTTGGAGTAGGGCAAAATTTTACTGAGTCAACTCGAGTTTGATGGCAGGGGTGGCACTCAAGCATTAGGAAAGAAAATCATGAACTAGATAGTTTTTGCGTACATTTGGTAACATATGCTTGCCTTTTTTTTTTTCATTCCCCACACAAGAAAAAGTTGTAAATTATATATTTTTTGTCAGAGTGACATTACTAGAAAATTTAAGTTCATTAAAATGGAACAAAATCTAAACTAATCTTCGGGTCACAAATTATATGCTAGTTTAAAAATAACAGGTAGTTTGAGCTTTCCCTAATTCCAGCCATGACGTTCCTTTCTATCTTACTACTTAATAAGAATGGTAACAGTATACGCAGATATTATTTTTATATTTTCTGTTGACCACAGTTCTTCTCTGTTAGTGCGCAGGTCTGGAGCTGTCTTATCAGACTTCTATGGCTTTTAGTGCAATAAAGAATTTTTAAAGAATCTGGTCCAGCGTGGTAATTTTTCTAATGAATGGCAAAGCCAACTGAGTAGGGATCAGATGAACCAAATATCTCTAGGTGCTAAGGTTGCCCTCTGAAAGGCTTTTGTAATTAAAAACTGTAGGGATCAGAGTACTTGTGTTTTAACATTCCATATAAGCACGTGAGGAAGTCTTTTCAGAGAATGAACTATAGTTCTTTGCTTGCCCTGTCTCTTGGAAGAAGATTCAGAGACATAAAAGGTGTTCCCATCTCTACCATGTAGATGTATGACTTGTGTGGTGCTGTATGCCTTGGCTTCTATCTGCACACACTGCTATCTCTGCTCCATCTCATAACCTGGAAGTTGTCAGTGTGATTCCAAACCAGCTTGGTTATTATTTTTTTTTTATTCCAGGAGTGGCTGTAAGGTGAAGAAATATGAAACGCAGTCTCTTGCTTTGGATGAGCGTTCTCAGGTAAGTCTGTGCCTACAGTCTCACTAAGGTGCATTACCACTGGATGTGAAACCTCTGAGGCACCAAACAGAGAGAATATTTGAAATATTGGTATAGGTTTTAAGGAGGTGATTGACTCTAATGACTGGATAATAATTGTTTTCTAAGTCAGATGGTTTTTTAACTTACCACTTTCAATAAGATAGGGGAACCTGAATTGATAGAAGTAGACTGAAAATGCAAATTCAGAGAGGAAAAGGAATGATGTAAATTTCTGATTAATAAAGAGGTGTTCGTATCTGGTGTTAAATAGATTGTGGGATATGAAATTATTTAACTACATTGAATTAAGCAATCTCAATATCTAAACTAGACCGGATATTACATCCTTTACAGTTATTTAAACTTATGCTGAAAAGTTTTTAGACATCACCTGAAAATATAATGGGATACATAGATTTTTTTTTTTTTTTAATTTAGGAGGTATATGAGCAAAATATTTAAAAACCATTTGCTTTGGACCTCTTAAACTTCTCACTTATAAATTTAGGCTAGAAAAGATTAATTTTTCAAACCTCAGATTCGAATTTCAAAAGCTAGGTTTTAGAAAATACATTTCGCGATCGAGAGTCTCCAGCTTCCTCCTTGATTTGTATCCAGATCTGTGGTTAACTGTTATCAAGTATCTATATGGAATGGTGGCTGCTCTGCCATTCTTGAGCTGTCCCTCTTCTCACTGTTTGTCCTCCTAAATGGTAGCATCTTCTCTGTTGCATTTTCCAGGACGAAGGAACAGTGATCTCCCAGATTTCAGACATTTCTAATAGGGACGGCCATGCTACTGATGAGGAGAAACTGGCGTCCACTTCATCTGGTCAGAAATCAGCTGGGGCCGAGGTGAAAGGTGAGCCAGAGGAAGACCTGGAGTACTTTGAATGTTCCAATGTTCCTGTGTCTACCATAAATCATGCGTTTTCATCCTCAGAAGCAGGTATGGAAGCATATCTTCATCTTTTTAATGTACGTAAGCATAGCAATGCCTGAAAGCCTGAAGCAGGAGGCGCCTTAGAGAGATTTAGAGAATTGGGTCACTTGAAGGATGGATTTAGAATGCTGATCTATGCTTTGCTGCTTTACCTAGAAAAGAGACACAAAAGGGTATGTTATCACATTACCAGAGACATATGGATAATTGTGGCAAGATATACAGGAGACACTGATGTGAGACTGCTTGAATTTTTTTATAATTTATTTTAATGTGACCACATCTTAAAGTATAGTGGCCTGTAATCATGTTGTGATTACATGTGATTGTGCTCATTGTTCAGCTTACAGAAATAATAATAACTAACACATATATTGCCTTCCCATGCGCAGGCATTGTTCTAAGTGCTTTATATGCATTAACTCATTACTCCTCGCTAGGTATTCGCCTCCCCCCGCCATTTTTCAGAGAAGTAAAGTGAGACATAGAAGTTAAGTAACTTGGCCAAGGTCACTTATAAATGGCTAATAAATGGTAGACCTCGTATTCAAATTTCAGCAGTCTGGTTCCATAGTCTTTTAACCACAGTGCTGAAGTGTGAAGAGATTTTCAGTTCGCTAAACTTTTATAAATTTTCCTGTTCACAGATGTGGTAGACTGAAATTGATCAATGCCCTATAAAATCCTTCTTAATGCTTTAATAAGAACCCAGACTAACTGCGCTGAAGCTTCTTGCTATTGGACTCTTAGAACATTCTAGAGCCAAGGTCCTCTTCCAGGTCCCAACTTATATCTGTGGCCATAAACTTGACTTGTGAAATGTTTAGAATCATGTTCCTGACTACATTAAACATTATTAAAAACTCAGATTTTCAGCAACATAATTTAATTTGAGGCTTTTGTACTTAGAATTTAAAAAATCGTGATCTATCATCAAACCAGGGAAATAGGTGGGAACCTGGACTTTTTCTAAGTCCAGCCTCCTCCCCACCCCCTGGTCTCAGTTTCCCATCTATAAAGTAAATGTGCCAGGCGCTGTTCCGGATTTCTTCCCAGGCCTCTTTCCGCTCTGACGTCTTTGCCAAGATCTCGTTTGCCTTTTCCCATTATACCCTGTTACCCAGTTATGCGGTCTAATCCTTAGTACTTTGTACCTACACATATTTCTTTTATTTGAAGTACCTTTCTTTGCCATCTCCTTTAAAAATTCTGCCTATCCTTTCAGGTCTGTCTCAAAATTGTGCCTCGGCTCCCAACACATTGTGCTTTATGCCCCCAACACATTCATTTTCACTGTTCCTGTTTTGTGTATTGATTATAGAAAGGCATCTTTGATAAATTTCTTAAAGTTAAGGACTGCGAGTGGTTCATCTTTGAATTTCCTCTAGTGCAGGTGCATGGTAGATATTTGTTGAATTATTCTTTTTCACTAAGAGGAAATTTCTTCAACATAAATTTATAGAGCTGGGGTTCTATTAGATACAGTGCTGTCTGCAACGTTAGTGAACAGCTAGTGTTACCCTCTGTGTAACTGGTTAGCCATGTTGTGAGAGCAAACAGAGGCCATGGTCATGCATGGATGGGAGATGGATGTGGAGGTGGATGGGTGCACTGTCTCAGCCAGGGCAATCAGAGATCGTTGACTAGGGAGAGTCACCTTTGAGCTAGGTCTTGAGAGATACAGGCGTAGATGTGCACCAGGGAATGAGAATCTTTCTCAGGGATGGGAAGGAATCTGCCATGTTGCTAAAATGCCCAGCTCTCTGTGAGTACAAGACAAGTGGGAAAATGAGATAGTACTGAGGAATTTGGGCTCGATCCTATAGGTGTAGGGGAGCCATGGAAGGTTTTTAAGCAGAGTAGTGATGGTCACATTTGCGTTTTAAGTAATTCACTAGTGACAGATAGAACTTTAAAATAGTAATTCGCTATTGCTTTGTGGAAGACTGTAGTTTTAAACTTTTGTGTGCCTTTCCATATTTTAAAATTATCTCCAGTGAGTACATATTTATTTAATCAGAAAAAGCAAGCATAGTGTTGTTTTTTTTAAATATTGCCTCTAGTGGTAGAGTGGGAGGTAGAAAACAAATTTAGTTTTGCAAGCATTAAATTTAGAGCTAATTGTTTTATCTGCTACACTAATTAGATTGAGGCTACCCTTTTGGGCTGGAATTTAAATTCACTCAGACTTGGTAATAAAATAACATTCAGTGTTATGGTTTCCTTTCCGAAATAGTCCCGGGGTTAGTACATGGACACAAGAGGGCAGGCTTGCTGTTCCTTCCACCTGTAGATTGTACTCCATTTATGGCCAACTGTGCACTCTTCTTTCTTCTGAATATTTTGGACTTTTAACACAGACAACACAATGGTCAACAGAAAGCCAGTGCTCTTTTGACAGTCTTGAAATACTGTTCATGTCTTCACAGATGTCATTCTGGGCCTACATTGGGGTTTCCAAGTGTCTTTTGTTGGGTAGGAAAGGAACCAACTTCTTGGGATGACTACAAAAATGACTTTCTGTGTTTTAGGCATAGAGAAAGAGACATGCCAGAAGATGGAAAAAGATGGATCTCCCGTGCCTGTAAGTTCCTAACCTTTGGGGTGGAACTCATTTTTTTTTTTAAATATTTATTTTGAAGCCCGTGTTAAATCATTAAATAAATTCTAGTCACTGTTTGTGATGGGGGTGAAATATAAATAAAACACAGCTTATTCATTGGAAGGGTTCATAGTCTCTCCTGAGATGACCTAGGCAGCACCCACTAGCTGCATGTGATTCTGAGCACTTGAACTGTAGCTAGTGTGAATTGAGAAGTCCTGTAACTATAAAATATAACTAGTTTTTGAAGACTGGGTACAAAAAGAAGGAAAATAAAATGCCTCTAACTTTTTACATTGATTATATGTTGAGATGATAATATTTTGGATCTATTGAGTTAACTAAACTATATTATTAAAATTAATTTTACCTGTTTCTCCTTACTTTTTAAATGTGGCTACTCAGAATTTTTAAATTACATATGGCTTGTATTATATTTCTTTTGAACAGCACTGGTAGTAGATACAAAATGGAAACAACGACACCCGGTGGTGAATGCTATAATAGAAGGTATTCCCGGGGCTGTGGGAGCCAGGGCTGCCCGACTGTGTGGCAGGTGTCAGGAAGGCTGAACCTGAGCTAATAAAAAAAAACAAAAACAAAAACAAAAACTTTTAGACATACAAGAACAGTACAAAAAATTCTTGTAAATCTTTCACCTATATTCCTCAAATGTTAACATTTTATATAATCACCGTACAGTTATCAAAATCAACTAACACTGACTGATACAGTATTATTTAATTCATAAACCATATTTGAATTTTACCAGTTGTCCCAATAATGCCTTTCTTCTGGTGTCAAGTCCCACATTGCATTTAGTTCTCATGTCCTTAGTCTCCTTTAATCTGTGACAGTTCCTCAGTCTTTCTTTGTCTTTCCTGACTTTGACACTTTTGAAGAGTACTGGTCAGTCGTTTAGTAGAATGTCTTTCCATTTGGCTTGTTTTCAGCATTCACTGTTGGGCTGTGACCCCAGTATTTCCCTAGAGGTAGTATGAGCAAATATGAGGGTAGATAGGTGGAGGAGAGCCTGTGGAAGCACGAGCGTATGGAAGACATACACATAACACGTAGAGACTTGGGACCATTGTCCCCTCACAGGGCCTCACACATTAGTGATTTTTGTTTCTGGACAAAATCACTTTTGTTTAGAAATTCATTCGATCCTTAGCTTTTTTGGAAGCCAGGTTATCTAATCCCAGTGCAGCTACTCACAGACTTCCACCTGGGTTTCCTCATCTGTGAGAGAGAGGGACACTTTCTATCCCCACTTGTGAAAAGATGAGACTCCATACTCCACTACCAGATCAGCCTGGTTGTGCACTTGGGGAAACCAGTTTCTTGTGAAGTTTTCCAAGTACTATGGGAACACTTTTGAGTATCTTCAGTGTGTAAAAATAGCAAAAAGATGATTGAAAAAGGATGTCACGAATAGACCAAACATTGGTCTGTGTGGCTGCAGATTCAGGTGGTTTACTCAATTCTTGAAACAAACTGGTTAAACTTCTGGATTCCCAACTTATTCATCCATAAAATTAGTAGCACATATTTACCTCATCAGAGTGGTTGTGAGGATAAAACGAAATGATAACATGAAAGATTGAAGCTGTAAAGTGCTAGGCTAATAGAAGGTGGTGTGATGTTGATAGGAAAAGGGTGAGAAAAAGAGAAAGAAAGAAATACGGAGAATACTTGTCTCTAGGCCCATCTGGTAAAGAACATATTTTATGTTGTGATCTTTTCAAAGTAACCCAAGTTGAACTTCCTAAAATAAATATCTACTTAGAATGTTGAAAAAATGTTGCATTAAGAAATTGTAATATTCAAAATATTGAATAAAGAAATCTGTTTAATGTAGTATTTACTTTTTAAAGTCTCTCTGGGTTGCTCTGGAGCACATTTCTTTTGCAGTCTCATGCCCAGAATAGGTGGTGGCGAGGGCAGAATACCTAAGGCCAGCGTACAGTGAACAGTGGGTGTTAGGTCTCTCATCTTGCTTCTCAGCTATTGGTCTGCAGCATTTTTCACTTAGGAGTCAATTTATTTTTTTAAGAAGTCTCAAACTTCTTAAAAGATGAGCTTGTTTGGCTTTTCCAAGCATGTCTCTCTGTTAGAGAAGTAGCAGGGGTGATCCTGCTCCATGGATTCAAGGGCAGCTGATGAGATGAGCACACTCAGCCTACTGCAACATATTAGTGATGCTTATTCTCCCACTTCAAGGATATGAGCAAAGAGAATTATTTTTTGACATCCGTGCTCACTGTTAACTTGTAGCCAGGACTCCATTGAGTTCTACTGTCTGTAGACAGATCTTTGTTGGTCCTCAGTTGTAAATGCTTTGTGGGACAGGGAGAAGGATTAGGGGACAATGAAATGGGACCTTTTTGGAAGGACATGATTGACTGATTTAGCATCTTTATTAATTATATAAGATTGCCCAGCCCAGGAAGAGGTCGTCAGGCCAGTTCTCTGTGAAGGGAGACTCTGTAGGCTTTCTACACTGTTTGATAAACAATATAAAGGACCAAGGAATATAAAAAGTTAAATCCTAGGGGACTGGAAGAGGTGGCTCAAATAGGCCACAGCATGAATTCCTGCTCTGCTCTTATCACCTCATAAGAGCTGTTGCATTTCGAGCCAAGAGGCTTGTGGCATGTGGCCAAGCAGAGGGGTGACCCAGGGGATAGCTGCAGGCTGCAGAGCCCACTTATCTGAAAATATTTGCCATGGTCTGAGATCTGATTTTCTACCTTCAACTCAGAATTCTGCCTTTCCAGACACCACGTTTGTTAATATTAAGTTGTTAAACAAGCAGGCAGACTGAATTTGTTTATCCCCTCAACAAATGAATGAGATGCTGAACTCCAGAATAGATGTTGATATTTTCCTTACTAATAAATCTTTTGACTTATTTCCCAAATTTTTGCTAACATGATGGTCACAGGAGGCACAGGAGGCTATTTCCTAGAGTTGACTCAACTTGAGGATTCTGACTTAGAATAATAAACACTCCCAAAAGATGTTTTTTAAATAAATGTATTAGTTTAGAATCAGAAATGTAACAACAAAGATGACCCAAATGTGTCAGCTTAATTTAGTATATTATCTCCCTGTCGGCAAATTACATGAGAAGCAAGATTATGAGAAAGCCTCTTGATGAGAAATGTGGCACAGGAAATTAATGGGTTGATTTGAATGTCCTGAGGTTTATTAGTTCTATACAACAAACATTTATTATCTCACCATTTCTGGATCAGGAACCCTTGGACGGCTGCTGGGTGCCTCTGACTCAGAGTCTCTCACAGGCTGTGATCAAGGTATTGACCAGGGCTCAGTCACCTCGGTCAACTTGGGGTGGATCCCCTTTCAGGCTCACTCACATGGCTGTTGGCACGTCTCAGGTCCTTGCTAGATGTTGATAGAGATATCAGTTCCTTGCCACGTGGGCCTTTCCATGGAGCTTCTTATAGAGTGGAATCTGGAGTCTTTTTGTAAACTAATCTCAGAAATGGCATCCCATGACTTAATCATATTCTGTTCTTTAGAAATGAGTCATTAGGTAAGCCTGCACGCAAGAAGAGGAGGTTGCACGAGAGGGTTAGTACCGGGAGATGGGCCTTATTAGGCTGTTTTAGAGGCTGCCACCACAAGTAGCTTCTTGCTCTAGTGATAGATCTATCTCAAGAAAGAGTTTTTTCTGGGGGTACTTTGGACTTCTGTCAGCATAGTGGGCTGCCTTCCCCCAAATGCTACTAGAAATAGGCTCTGCCAGCTTGTGGCTTTGCATTTCCCTTTTCTGTGACCTAAGCCCAGAGTTTCTATATTGGGCCCGTATATGAGGTCTGTGAAGCTGTATGCACAAATTATGTGTGTGTGTTTTAAGCATTTTTCTAGAGAGAGAGTGAATCTATAATGACCCTGAAAAGTTTAAAAACCACTGGTCTTAGTTGATCTTGGACTTTATGTTTAGTCTTGGTTCAAATAAGATGCTAGAGAACTGATTGATTTTAATCAATAACTAATTGATTAGTTATACTGACATTTAAGATTATTCCTAGGTCATTTTGGCTAGCATTTTGGATGTCATTAGACAGCTTTTTTTCCCCCACGTATACAAAAAGTTTACTTATATAGGTGAGGGGAAATAGCCCAAAAAATGCCTTCTAGGAAAGAAAATAGTACAAAATCTATATTCTTGTGAAAAACAAAATGCTAACCAAAAGTAACTCTAGAACCTGATGTGATGAGTTTATGCTAAAAGCAAGCTGGTACATCAGAAAGCGAAATGCTACCAGAGGGAACTGAAACCTTAATAGCAAGAAGGAACCAAAAAATGGAAGTACAGGTACAGATCTTGACCTACATGCGGCCACTTCGTACAGGAGCACATAATGGTGTGCACCTGACAGCATTGCTGGGTTACCACATAACATCACTGCAGAGCATTTGACATTCCTCATGATTCTGAATCATCCGAGAGTGGGGGTGGGGGTCACGGTTCAGATATATTCGCCATTTCTGCTTCCTTAGGCCTGAAAGTTAGCGATACATTTTAGGAACATTTCCATCCAATGTGACTAAATAGAGACACACAAAGCAGCAATATGTAAAAAAAATTGATACTTTTTTTGAAAAATTATTTACATGGAACACGTCATCCCCAGAAACCCTCTGAAAAAGGAGCCATTAACCATGGTTGGCTTTCTCTTTCATGCAGGTAATTCTTTGGTGACTGACCACTATGATTACACTGTCTCTTTTTGGATAAGAAAACTTCTCTAGGCTATCTGTTAAACAGAAGCTAACTGCCGCCTCCCCCGCCCTTCTGCCCCCATCATCATTAGAACAAGTTTTTCCTTTAGATAGCACTGTAACTGGATTTATTTTTTTAAACCCTCCTGGTTTTTTTTTTTTTTCCCCAAACATATTTTTAAAGATTGCGATCAATTTAGTAATGAGGAAGTTATTGAAGAAGTATTTGGGATTAAGAAGCTGAAAACAATGTATTAAATGTAACCTTTTCCCCAACTCAGGGACTGTTGGAGTCCCCTATGGAGAAAGCCCCCGTGTCTGTGGCCTGTGGAGGTGAGAGCCCCCTGGATGGCATCTGCCTCAGTGAATCAGATAAGACAGCCGTGCTCACCCTGATAAGAGAGGAGGTAAAGGCTTTCTTGTTCTGTCCACTTATCACTCCATTTCTTTGTAAAGCCCATGTGCCAGCAGGCAGATTCCATCTCTGTTGGCCTGAGTTATCCCTGGTCAGAAGTTCTTATTTCCCACAGCTTGTTTCGCTCATATAAAGGATTCCCACATTGGTACTGGAGTTCTGACATTCTGGCGTCCAGGGGGAAAAGCTGATGCTTTGAAATAGCCTTAAGAATTTTGTATACTTCTTTGTCTTTTAGCCTTGAAATTTTAAATATAGAATTTTACCAACTTTATCCACATATGTGACTAAATCAGTGCCTACATTTTATGGAAGATATATGCTCATACATAAAAGTTCCTTAAATTCTAGACTTGCAGTAATATAAAATTGTTTCCTACCTTCATCCATTCTTTAATTAAACAGTTCAGCTCTCACATTCCTTTATTGTCTTTCCTGAGCAGGCTCTCTTCAAAATAGATCACTGCTGGATCTTTCTTGGGTGATCCAAAAGATATGAAAGATAATATTACATACTATTAGTTACCACTCTCTCCCATTATATTTCTGTGGTATATTTTATGTATTTGGTTCGTGTTATTTGATGAGTCCACCTATTTTTTAAAGAAGGTAATTTCTTGGTGTAGCAATTTTATTTTTATAATCCAATGACAGTAATTAAGTACCTCTGATACAAGTCTCTTAAAGCTTGAAAAAATAGCATTAGGTTGATAATGAGGGATGTTAGCTAGGCCTATTTTCAAACTTGGGAGTAATGTTAAGGAGGCCCACCAAAATCTTGTAAATGAGAAAATTGATTACCTCTTCCTCCTAAGAGTTCAACTATCAGATGACCACTAAATGGTTCAAAGCAGAGATGTCCTTAGTCACTCAAAGCAGAAAAACCGGCTTCTAGGATTTTGACATCCTGATTAAAGCACTATAATAAAGAATGTGTTAACTAGAAAGAGAGAAGCAGAGAAAAGTAAAATAAAAGAACAACAGATGCCCATTCAAGCCCTGTCCAGGGCAATAGAGTTTGAGGCAATGAATTTAGAGTATTTCTTTCCAGTTAGCAAGGGCATTCCAAATAAGGATAAGGGTTCTGGTGTAACAAAATCCTGCCTAAGTGAGATGGCTGCATTTGACTGGAGGCATTGAACTTCTGAGTCCCTCTTTCTGACTCCATTCTTATCAAGCAATCAGAAATCTGTGTGGAAGGAGAATATGCTGGTCATACCAACTTTAGCAGTCTGATTTTGTGGCAGTTTCATTTCTCATCTTAATAAATTGGTGCTCTAGTGTCCACTTTGGTAAAGGTAAGTCTCTGTTAGACAGATGGCTTTGCTTTTAGTGTTCTGTCCCAATCAGTTTTCTGGGCCTACAGAGTTGAGAGCCAGACCCTGGACTGAGGTAAAAATTTATAGAGATTGTAATTACCACTTGGAATTTTCCCAGGAGGTGTTCTGCTCACCTTCACTCTGGTGGGTACACTCCAGGACCTTGTTTGGCTAAGAGTTCATTTTTCCAAATGCTTATGAGCATTAAATAGACTTTGGGGTTTCATATTCCTAATGTAGATGGAATGTCTTGGGTGGACCTCATTGTGTGTTTCTTTCAGTGTCCAAACTTAAATTCAAACTGTAATAGATTGAGTAGGTAAAATCAAGCTTTATCTCTATTATAATCTAGATAATCACTAAAGAGATTGAAGCAAATGAATGGAAGAAAAAATACGAAGAAACTCGACAAGAGGTCTTGGAGATGAGGTTAGATTGGAGGTTTGGGCATGGGGTTGGATACTTTTATGCATTATTAGATTTAATACAAATGAAATGATGAAAGTATTTGCTTACCACAGAACCAAATGTTGAGAACTTGAGGGCTTTGCTATTTGCACCTTAATTTGTGACTGATAATGTCATTTCATGAGTATTGCTAACCAGTTATTATATTATCAAATACTGTAGCTTATTTTGGGGGTGTTCAGAGCATTACAAGTAAGCAGAACCCACATAATTATCTTTTGAAAAGACATAAATTTATGTAAAAATATCCATTTGAAATACAGAGTAATGAGATTTACTGACAGTCAGTTATAGAGGCATTATAATTCATAATACTTTTCTAAAATTAATTATACATGAAAGCTTCGAATCTCATAACTACCAAATAGATTATAAAAAGCATGATAACAGGAAACAGAATTGATTGGCATATTTAAATTGAAATGTTTTTATGTTTGCTGCTTACTCCCTAGAAAGGAGAGTTAGGAGCTGTGAAATAACTAAAGATGGCATCAGAGAAGAGGGGGAAAAAGCATAATTTATACACTGTACAGTCAACACTTAAATGACTAAGAGGCATTTAAAATATGTCTGTACTAATTTGTGGCTCCTATATTATTGGGTTTTTTTGAGCATTTACTGGGTGTAAGATCCCATGCTGGGTGTGGTGGAGAGGAAGGGACGATGGCCCCTGCCCTTGGAGAATATACAAAGCCATCATGAGAAACTTGGATGCAGGGTCAAAGTGATGGGCAAGGGGAAGCCATCATTTCTCATGGAGGGGTTACAGGGAAGGGTACAGTCAGGAAAACATTACACTTTGCTAAAATAAAGGTTAACACAACAAGGTGATCTTTAATGTCTTTGAATAACTGAAATACTTTTGGAATTAAGACAGTAAAATAAAACTTGGAACTTAATCAGAAGGGACAAAATGGCTGAAAGGGTAGATTGGGGCCAGGAAAGCATAAACTCTGATTAGATTTCTTAGGAAAAGGCACAATAATGCCATTACCCCAGTAGATGCCTGAAACTGCAGATAGTACCAAAACTTATATGTACTATTTTTCCGATACGTACATACCTATGATAGTTTAATTTATAGACACTATAAGAGATTAACAACAATAAGCGATAGTAAAATAGAACAATCATAACAATATACTGTAATAAAAGTTATGTGAATGCAGTCTGTCTCCCAAAATATTTTATTGTACTATACTCACCTTTTCATTTAAAGCAAGCACATCCGAATTGCCAGTATCACTACTCTTGCCCTTTGGAGCCATTATTGAGTAAAATAAGGGTTACTTGAACACAGCACTGTGATGGCACAATAGTCTATCTGATAACCAAGACTGCTACTAAATGGCTTATAGGCTGGTAGTGTATACAACATGAAGATGCTGGACAAAGGGCCGATTTGTGTACTGGGTGGGACCGAGGGGGGCGCCTCATGATTTCATCGTGCTACTCAGAATGTCATGAAATTTAAAACTTAAAATTGTTTATTTCCGGAATTTTACAGTTAATATTTTCAGACTGCAGTTGACTGCGGGTAACAAAAACTGTGGAACACAAAACTGCACATAAGGGAAGACTGTTGTAATTTATTTTGTAAAAGATTGATTTGTCTAAGCAAACTCAGTCTATTGCCTTGAGGTCATTCTCATAGGAGCAAAGAAAAAGTGAAGGCAGTTGTTTATATAAATAGAATGAAGGCTTGTTAAAAATAAAATCTGAAGAAAAACATTTTTGAACATTAACAAATCTCACATTAACGTAAAAGAGCTCAAAGCAGATAAATGGGTTATGTAAATTTGTCAGGATATTTTAATGTATTTAATTGGGGTTGCATTTCTTTATCTTCCATTCTCTAAAAATTTTCTTCTGATAATTTTTCTAAGGAAAATTGTGGCCGAATATGAAAAGACCATTGCCCAAATGATTGGTAAGGAAATTTTTTTTCTGGGATATAAGCCATAGGACCCATAGATGATTTTCAAATCAAGATACAAACTTCAGTTTGTCTATCACTTAGGTAACCATCAATTCTCATTTGCAGTAGTTAATGTTCTATAAAGTTGCCACAAACAGTGAATTAGCAAATACTGAACTACTGCTTCTAGGGAAAATACAAGGTTAGGTTCCTGCAAGCCTCTGGTCACAATTTTTATTGTCAGTACATAATCTTGTTTTGTGTGTATTTCTGTTTAAATACATCTTATTTGATATCTCTTGTTGATTCATTAACATTGAACTCATGGCAAACAGTCCTATATATTTCATTTCTGAACTAAATTTATCTAACACATGTATTTTCCCCATGATGCACATCACAGCCTTCTTGCACTTAGGAACACTAGACTGCACTTCAGCACTACACTTGGGATCCGTTTAAACAGAAAGCACAAAATTTCAAAAACAAAACAAAAAAAATGTAGCTCTAAATAGATTGAAAAGGACTCTTGTGTGCAGTATGAAGCAAGAAAGGTCGCCTTGTTCAACCTCAGCTGAGAATGTGCATGTCAGGTAACTCAACTTTTTTGCCATTCTGTGCATGTCCGTTAATGACCAGGAATGCACCAGAGGTATTGATTTTGGGGTTACAAATAAATTTTAGCAAGTAAGCATTTTCACAAATACAGAATCCATGAATAATGAGGATCAACTGTAGTTGGGTTCATTTTAGAGGATGCCCAACACTTGGATTCTGGGGAAAGCCAGTATTCCACCCAGTACCTAGAGTGTTGATGGCCTAGCCACATCGTTCATCATCCCAGGTGGGATCTCTGTGGTGTGGCGCAGTGTTCTTACTCCACTGCAGGTTATGCTTTCCTTGTATCGGACCCATGGGTGCCCTTCCAAAATGACAGTGGTTGATCTCCCTGCATAAGAATTTAGAACCTCTTCTTGCCAATATTGTAAGGACTGACTCCCTAAACCAAAGTCAGGTCTTTCTGCATTTAAACATATTTTTCTACTGTCCATATCACCTAATGTTTTCCCAGTACACAGCCATTTTCACAGCTATTCCTCTCCTCTTCAAGGAATAGTCCTCTCCCACTCTTGGTTGTTTCGGATCTCTGTTCAAATCTCTCCTCCGAGTGAGACCACTCTGTATAAAAAAGGAACCCCACCTTTCTTGCCCTGCTTTGTTTTTCCTCCATCACTTGTATCTTCAAGTATCTTCACTCACCAGAAAGTAAGTCCTTGAGAGTGGGAACTGTGTTTTGTCCACTACTGGGTCCCCACCACCAAGAACACTGCTTAGCTCAAGGAGGGCAGCTGTTAACTATTTGTTGAATGAATATGCCATTGCTTTTGATTGTGATTCACAGAAGATGAACAAAGGACAAGTATGACCTCTCAGAAAAGCTTCCAGCAACTGACCATGGAGAAAGAACAGGCCTTGGCCGACCTTAATTCTGTGGAAAGGTCCCTTTCTGATCTCTTCAGGAGATATGAGAACCTGAAAGGTGTTCTGGAAGGGTTCAAGAAGGTAGCATGTCTTTTTTTTTTCTATCTCCTTACTAGTGTATTTTCTTGGTAGAGGGTCTTCAAATGTATATGGCAGAGGTGGGTAGCTTTTTAAATAGGGACTTGAGGCCCCTGTTGGCCTTGTATTGTAGCCTGTGTTCCAGAGAAGCCAGAGAATTTTTCCTCCTTTTTCTTTATGTGGTTGTTAAGGCATCTGGCCTACCGGATGGTTTGTCTTGGTCATTCTTTTCCTGGTTCAGGCAAATAAACCCTAGGCACAGTCATAGTCTCATGGAGTTAAGAACTGTGGAACCTTCAGAGGAATTCTAGAAACATTCTTTTTGATAATTCGCCAATTTAATATTAATAAAATTGAAAGGGATTCTAGCCATAGCACTGAAAAATTCAGGCTGCTTATTCTAGAGGAAAGTGTTACAGTTTCAATTTTAGATATAAGTGGGTATATTGATTTAATTTAATTGCACACCATCAATAAGACACATTTATATTAGTGAACATTCTTTTTTTCATATTAAAATGAAAACGAGACTGGCAAATTTATCTAATGTGGGAATCAGATTGAATAAGTTTTGAATAACTGCCTTCTTAAAGTAAGTGTACTGGTGTAACTGAACTTTACTGTTTGATTTGAAAATTAACACATGAATAAATTATCTAGAATTTCTTCAGTGAGAATTATTTGTGCTTGTTTCAAATTACCATAGAGTATAATTTAAAGGCATCTGAATTAATTGGATTTTCTCATTTTTTAAAATAAGAACTCTGCTAAATGGTATGTTACTAGCAGAAGAAAAACAAAATGACCTGTTTCTTTTATTTGAAATTGTTACTTTGGAACAGAATGAAGAAGCCTTGAAAAAATGTGCTCAGGATTACTTAGCCAGAGTTAAACAAGAGGAACAGCGATATCAGGCCCTGAAAATCCACGCAGAAGAAAAACTAGACAAGTAAGAACTTGCACATAAAACTTCCACTTTTCATGGTGTCGTGGGAAGATTGATGGAGACAAGAAAAAAAAATCACTGTTTTGCAACTCCAGATTGCATTTGTGTGTGTGTGTGTGTTATATTTAACTTTTTTAATGATAGAATCTTCCCCTGGTTCAACATTGAAAAGACTAGGAAGATATATAGTATCTTCCTCCAACCCATCCCCCTTCCACTTGAGTCCCACCTCTTTCCTTATCTGGGGTAATCACTATTTTTTATCTTTCCAGATATACTTTTTCCCCTTCTTTCCCCCACCTCACCCTTAGCTTTATTGAGATATAATTGACATATAACGTGTAAATTTAAGGTGTAGGGTGTGTTGATTTGATATATTCATAATATACCATGATAACATTTGCTCACACCTCCATCACATCACACAAGAACCATTATTTTAAAATGGTGAGAATCTCCTTTTTTATATAGATGATAGCATACCTTGATTTTTTCATTTAGTAGTATATTTTGTGAATCTTTTCATATTAATCTTTGAAGAACTTCCTTATTTTTTATTTTTTATTTTTTATTTGTTCCACTGTTGGACTGTATCATTTGTGTAACTGGTCCCTCCTGTTGGACATTCAGATTATTTAAAATCTTCCACAAACAGTGCTGCAATTAGTAATCTTTTATGATTACCATTAAGTATGCATGTGAGTTATCTGTATTTATATCTCTACACAATGAGAGCATTTCTTCCCTATGGATCACATTTTTGGTTTTCCACAAATCTAATAGAGAAAAAATGGTATTTCAGTTTAGTTGGCTGGGTTTTTTTGTGGGGAGGGGGCAAGCAACAGATCATTTATTTTATTCAGTGTAGTTTTAATTTATATTATGAGTGAAATTGAACATTTTAGTAGCTCTATATTTGCTTTATTATGACTCTATTCTTTGCCCAGTCTTCTATTGTCGGTTTGTATATTTTATGTATTATATATAAATATATTATTACATTAAGGATGCCAGTCCTTTGTGATATGAGTTGTGGATAATTTTTCCAGTTATTTATCTTTTGACCTGCCTGTAGTGTTTTTTAATATGCAGAAATTTATTTTTATGTAATGAATTTTATCAGTCATTTTTTTTACAGCTTCTGGATTTCCTGTCTTAGTAACAAATACCTTTCCCTTGCTGAATATAAAATATTCTCCCGTGCTTTCTATTTAATACTTTCATGGCTTAATTTTTTAATTCTTAAGTCCAATGCATTTGGAATTTATCCTGGAGAGAGGTATAAAGGGTTCATCCAACTTTATTTTTTAACTAAAAAGTAATACATACTTGTACATTTGCTATCTTGTCTTTCTATTTATAAAACCTTTTAAGTTCACTCTTTTACACATTCTCACTCCCAGAAATACTATTATTCAAGTTCACTGTATATCCTTCCAGTCTTTTCTTTGTGCCTTTACAAATACTACCCAAAATGGCTTTGGACTTATTTTTATACATATATATTATAAAATACGGAAGTCATAATACAAGTTTCCTTTTTTACTTGGCATATATGTAAATATATATATAACAAGTTTCCTTTATATATACACCTATTATATAACTCTATATATAGCCATATAAAGAAAATTCGTACTATCCAGTGTGTGTGTGTGTGTGTGTGTGTGTGTGTGTGTGTATAAATAAATCCTGGAGTCATAGTACAAGTTTCCTTTTTCACTTAATAGTATATCATAATCATTTCTCTATGTCAGAACATATAGTTCAGTCCAATTATTTTATTAGGTTGTTTTATTTTTATTAGGACTATTTCATTCCTTATTGATGGGCATTTAGTTTCATACTTTTTTCCGTTACAAACAATGCTGCAGTGAAGATCCATTGTGCCAAGTGGGAATTTTGCTGTGGATAGATTACTAAAAGGAAACTGCTGGCTCAGAGGGTGTATACATTTTAAATTATAATAGTTGCTATCATATTGCCCTCCACGAAGATAGTGCCAGTTTTTGGTCCCTTAATTTGGACATGAGCCTGTCTCCTGGCATCTCAGCCAACACGGGACAAGATTATCCTTATTAATTTTTGCCAATCTGATAAATTTTAAAAGTTTATCACTTTAATTTGCATGCCTCTGATTAGTAAGTCTTTAGCATCTTCTCATTGGTTAACATCACCTGATATTTATTTATTTATTTATTTAAAAATTTCCTTTTGTACCTCTTCAATAAAGTCACTTAGGACTATGTGCCGTAGATGTCAGTGGTTAGCATCCTGCCTCTTTAGCTGCGATGATCCCAAAGATGATCCTGCCTGCTATTGTACTGGGTTAAAAAAACTTTTCTGATTGTTATAGAAACTGACATGTGATTCCTTCTTCTAGTGACACGAATTTCGAAGGATAATGTGGCTTTTGAGATTAATTCTACCATTGGTTTACATCATGGAAATTTCCTTAGCAGTTGTATATAAGCTGAGTTTTTGTAAATTAAAATTGAATTATTTAGGTCACTGATTCCTAATCAGTTCTTTTAAGTCTGTGTCTCACAGATGTCAGTGATTAATATCCTGACTCTCTAGCCAGGACTGATAACTGTGTGTTTTTTATCTTTTTATTCTATAAACGAAACTCTGTAAACAGAGCCAATGAAGAGATTGCTCAGGTTCGAACAAAAGCAAAGGCCGAGAGCGCAGCTCTCCACGCAGGACTCCGGAAGGAACAGATGAAGGTGGAGTCCCTGGAAAGGGCCCTTCAGCAGAAGGTACCGAGAGGGGTGTGGTATGACCACAGAGACACTTGGTTTTCATCTTCAGCAGTGGCTAGCTTGCCGTAGATCTGGATGAAAGAGGCCTTGCCTTTTTGCCCAGACACTGATTCAGACGGAGACAAACAAGGCAAATCATGAAACTCCCAGGCATATTCATGGGCAAGGTGCAGGGAGGAAGTTCAGGGGGCCAAGCACTGCTTAGGCGGGCTTTGAGTCTCCTTTTCTTCCTTTTTGTCTTTTATGTACTATATGAAGCTGTCTCCCCCCTTCATTGCAATTTTACCCTGCAGGGGACATTTTGCAACATCTAGAAGGATATTTCGTTGTCACGACTTAGAGATGCTACTGGCATCTACTGGGTAGAGACCAGAAATGCTATCAAACATCCTGCAACTTCCAAGACAGCCCCAAGAACAAAGACTGACCCAGCACAAAATGCCAGTGGTGCTGTGGTTGAGAAACTTCAGTACATAAATAAAAATCAGTGGTAGCAGCGGTTTCTATTTCTCAATGCTCAGCGATTCTTGGGCTTCATTTTTTTGTATGCCTCTAGTGTTTTTCTCCCTGTGTCTCCAATTGTGTACTTATGCCTGTGGTATCCATTCAGCTAGGACAAGGTTCTTACCATGGGGTCAGATAATCCCTAAGATAGTGCTCCTGGTATAGTTGGACTCCAGAATTTCAGGTCCCTGGAAATACTAATGGATTGAGTGAGGCCCAAATACTTGTGTTTTTAACAAGTACCCCAGGCAATTTCTATGATCAGAAGAATATTTGAAAACTAAGAGATTCATGGACAAGATGCAGAAGGCCAGTGGCTATCCTCATCCTCTACTCAATTTAAGCAGAACTTTGTGAACATGCGAACATTTTTCAGGGGAGAGGGTATAGAGCTCTCCTTTCGCTAAAGGGTCTCTGCTGTAGAAAAGTTAAGAGCCACTGAATTAGGTGGTCTAGGTAGAATGTAATGAGTCTTGGGACTGTTTAGCAATAATTGTCTTTAACTCAGGACACAAATGACCTGCATTATCATATTATTTGTCTTTCAGAACCAAGAAATTGAAGAATTGACAAAAATCTGTGATGAGCTGATTGCAAAGCTGGGAAAGACTGACTGAGTTTCCCCTCTTAGCTCAGTAGATCTGCATTTGGCTGCTTCTCTCATGACCACAATTATCTTGCCTTATCCAGGAATAATTGCCCCTTTGCAGAGAAAAAGAAACTTTAAAGAAGCACATGCCTACTGCTGCCTGTCCCGCTTTGCTGCCGATGCAACAGCCCTGGAAGAAACCCTCATATTGCACTCACAAAAAGAGTGCATCTGACAGCCCTAGCATCTTTCACAATTCGCCATCGATAGGTTCAGTCAGACAGGCTGCTAAGTTTGGGTTTGTGATTTCTCTATCTTTAATTTCTTTTAAAGTCACTTTACTTTTCCAAGTGCGTTAAATTTGTGATTTTATGGCTACTATTTAGGATCATCTCCTGTTCATCACCTGTCTGATTTTTTATGTGTGACCTATTTATTTCATCTTTTAAATTTAACTTTCAATATTAGCGGTTTTATTTGAGGAGATAATTTGGCTTTTGTTACTTCCAGTTTATAAACAAGCAGGGGCTCTGAGTACCCATTTATATATACATAGACACACACTCACACATATATTTACATATGCTGCTGTTTTTTCCCTGAAGCATAGTCAAATAAGACCTCTATAGAAGAGCATTTTTCCATAAATGTAAAGCCCTATTTTGAAATAGAGTCTTGGCTCAGAATGCTAACTTCAGAATTTGGGGGAATTGAAGATGTGAAGACCCCGGACTCATGTCTGTCATGACTCATAACCCTAGGCTCAGGTTTCACATCTAGGGAAGACTTTTCACAAATGTTTTGTTGCCCTGATATTTGGACACCCTTCAGCCTTGATGAATGTGAGTGTGAGTGTGGCCCCTTTGGGCTTAGTCCTCAGACTAAAAGTGCCTGCTTTTTGCAGGAACAACAGGGTGGGGCTCCTTCAGAGCTGGGGTTTGGCAAGGCCATCCTAGAGCTGTTTTATCTCCTCTGCTTCCATTTGTTATTACAAAATCAATATTTATTCTTTATTATCTTTCTATTTGAAATATGCAAAGAAAATCTACTTGTAAAAGGTTTAGATGATCTTATATAATTAAAAGGTAACTAGCCCCATAAGCAGTTATAAAGTGAAGAAACGGTTTTTCACAAGTGTGATGCCTTGTTCTTCAGATTTTTTCTTTAAGGCTGAAAAAAAAGTCTTTTCAGAGTTGATAGAATTTTTAACAAAATGGGCAGTAAAAATCATGTGAACTCATCCAAAAATCAGCTCGTCGTGAATATTTTTAAACAACGGCCATTTGAATACTGGAGGAAGGAAGCGCAGGGAGCACATCCACACTCACAAAACCAAATTCCTCAAGTTAGTTCTTCCTGGACTTGGTTCAGTCTGGTGGGGCCTTTAACCCCAAAATGGAAAGTTTTCATGTAGTACCAGTGAATTCCCTAGCATTTGATAGGTAAAACCAAATCCATGCAAGTGTTTTAAAGCACTCTTTTGTCTTAATCTTAACACCCTGAAAGTCTTCATGGTGATATGCACTATATTCAGTACATGTAAGTTTTCGTACTTTTCTTGTAAAACTATTGCATGATCCAACTTCGACAAATTGTGCCTAGTGGAGAACCTTTATAGATCTTTAAACATGAATTTTTCTTTAGAAGTGTACTCTTCACACGGGTGCAATCTTTAGCCCCAGGGAGGTTAATATGTCTTTTAAAGCCAGAAGTCATGTTTTACCAATATGCATTTATCAGAATTGGTGCTTAGGCTGCATTTTAAAGCCTATCGTCTTACCATTTTGTACAAAAAAAGAACAACAGAAATGATCTATGGTTGGAGAAATGACTTGACAATCATTTGGGCTTTGAAAGCAGTCACTGTGGATTAATGTGAGTGCTGTGCTATAGTCATAGCAGCAGTGGAGTGTAAGTGTCTCCAATTGGTATAATTGATTTCCTCATTCAGTCCTCTCCTTATTAGGGAAATTAACTAAGTTTTGCAGAAAGAAACATTGCTAAACCTTTTTGCTACTGTGTTTTGGTGAGATACCCATGTTTACTTGTTTTATATTGATCTGTTGGAAGCATAGAAGGCTTAAAGTGATTTCCATTATAAATCCATAGTCCTCTTTTTAGGCTTGCTGTATATTAAAAAAAAGTAGCTATGTGTTAATAGCAGAAGTGACGACAATCCTTCCCTAGCACACTGGTAACAGAGACTCCCTTAAAAACTAGACCTTAGAAAGAAGCTGCTGCACAAGGACTACGAAAGGGCCCTTGTTAAGTAACTTTTGCTGCTGGCTTCTCAGCCATGACCATTACAAGAAAGTGTTCTTCCAATTTAATAGGTGGATATTCTCCAACAAGAATAAAAATGTAGCTTGTGCAGCTGGCAAATCATGATAATTTACTGGACGGAATAAAGTATGTTTGTTTATTTTTCTTTAAAAATAAGCAAAACAAAACAACCTCGAACTTTTAGAACTTGGAGAGTAAGAATATAGGCTAGAGTTTTGGCCGCTAGGGGGCCAGATTACATGTTAGTTAGCAGTAATAAACCCTGTTACAAAAATGAAAAGAGATGATGGAAGTTGCTGATCTAGATTGTGGTTTGGGAGTATTAGGTGATCTTGTCGAGACCTTGGATCCACAGCCATTACTTCAATTTTTAACTTTGCCTAAGTGTAGATAGTCTTTATCTAAAAGTATTTTAATCGGAGACTGAACAATTTGTCACTTGTTTGACTGATCAGTAACAGACCTCTTGAGATTTACTCTATTAGGAGAAGCTCCTGAAAGCCAGTGACCTGCCCAAACCTTTTGTTCTGTAAAACTGTTCTGGAAGTGTTGAGAAGCCCAGTTTTCTCATGTGGTTTTTAGCTTCTTCAGATGCAGCCCAAATTAGGAAGTGCAGAAGCATGGTACAAATGGTACAAAATGCTAAGGATCTGGCAGCCTTTCAGAATGATATGGAATCTAAGGGAAGATTTATATTTGGTGTTGGGAGATCTCTCAAGTTGAATTTTCTTTCCAGCCAGTTACCCTTTCCACCTTTGTGCCACGCTTTTTCCACTCTTACACAAATACTTAGATCATTATTAGACAGCCCAGAGTTTGTACTGTTTGTAAACAGGGAGAGTAAACTGTCCCAGATGTGCCTGGGCCGTCCAAACACAGCCAGTGAAGCGCTCACTTTAAGGGAACTAAGGGCTCAATGGTGCCTCTCAAGCTCAAAATGGAATTTTTAAAGAGTAAGCATTGGTGATCTGTGTACACAAGTTGGAAATGATTCAGCACATCCCTTTCTAGTGGTCTAAAAGCTCTAAAGCTCCCTTTTTGTTTCCTTTTGTTTTTTTTCACCACAATTAGTAGCCATCTCATGAACTGTACACGACTGTTGTGTCTTCTTTGTAGTTTTGTGACCATGCGAGCTTGCTCTTGGACTTGAGTTTCTTTATCCTCTTGTTGGGAAAAGAGAAACTAGATGTTGAAAGAGTAAATAATTCAGGCAAAGGAGTCTAAAGTAAAACTGTATATATTCTGAAGAATTTAAAAGATAGCAGATTATTATATGCTTACTAAAGAACAGATATAGTCTGGGAATCCCAGATGTCAAGCCAAAGGTCTAAGAAGTCATCTTCAAAGATTTTAATAAAGAAAGATTTTGAGGAGACTTCTGTCCAAAAAGGTTTGGCTGGCCTCCAGATTCTAGTGATTTTTAAAAAGCAATTTATTATTTAAACCTTGAGTCTTCCCTATAGTAAAGGTAAAGAAATTGGACACTTCTAAGGATATCCTCTGGAAGATAATAAAAATGACAGCATTTCCAGGGAAGACTCACTCCCCAGTGCCCAGAGCTAGCATTTTGGAGACTAAAGATTGCACTTTTCATAGTTCTTTGTCCAAATGCAGTCCCATTTCTGTGCCTCTTAGCATGCCATTAGATTTGGACAAACAAGATTCCTAAGGAATGACTTTATTAACTATAATATGGTTACAGCTATTACATATATATATATATTCTGATTATAGTTCTAATATGGAGATGCTACGTGTGATGCTTGCAGTCTTAACTCATTTGGAGGAGGCCAGGCATGGAGCTGAGATGTGGTTTGAACCTTCCCTATATTGATTCTTCACTTTAGAACTGTAAACAGTTCTCCCCCTCTGCCTTTTAGTGGTTATATGAAATGTACCCCCAAAATAATTTCATAGTCATATTGTTAATTAATATTCTATATTTATGAATAATTTTCAAGTGGACATTTAAAAATCCGAACTCAGAAACCATCCCCAGTCCAGATACAGGGCAGTCTGTAGGTCACCACACCCTCAGCCTCAGCCTCGGTCCTTCTTACCCGATGGGATGAGATCCAGGCATTTCTTTTAAATCTCAGAGGTAGCAGTAAACCTTTCAGTGTTGCTGTTAGCAAGTGTGTGTTTGCCAGTAGATACTCATTTGTACTAATGTGCCAACAAGTAAATGTTAATTGCACATCTGCTTCCACTGTGTCCCCATGGGTGCCATGAAGTGTGTGAGGAGCCTCTCGTCTGGAGGAATGAACGCTGCATTGACTACTGCTATCAGGACTGTGTTGTATGGAATAATCATCTACATAAATTTTATATGCACAGTAATTTCTCTTTTCTATGTCAGGTAAATATTTGTAAAAGTTATACTCACACAAATGAAATTATTATAATGATTACTAATATATTTTTTCCATGTTTCATTGCCTGAATAAAAACTGTTTACCACTGTTAGATTTGGGTGTATGTATACCTTTTTATCCCCTAGTTATAAGTCGTTTTGTCCCCAAGTGAAAATTTATGACAGCCTCATTTTTATGAGCTCCAGTCTAAAAATGGAAAAGATGACATTTTTGCTGCACTCATTCTGTGGGATTTTATGCATTTGGTTGGGTGTGTAATTAAAAACAAAACAAACTTTTTAATTTGGACCTTACGGTATAAATTTTCGTGGTTTAGCATCTGTGCAAACAAAGTATTTAATTGGGTGCTTCTTGGTTTTGCTTGTCTTCCCTGGTATTTTTCAAGTCATAAGAATCTAAGTCACTCCAAACTTTCTGACTTGTTGAAGGACACGGGATAAGCCAGAACTGTAAACATTGCAGAGTGACCCACACAGAAAATAGTTGACATTTTGTGTCTCTTCTAGGTTAATACCAGAAAAACATTTTCAGTATTACCCAGGCCAACTCTCTTTTTAAAGGGATAGAAGACTGGGGAGAAAATTTCATTAGTTTTATTACAGAAAAAGATAAATTAAGAGGCTCCTTTTTACAACTTAGGTAAGGATCCACTAAGAAAAATCAGCACTGTCATTTCCTTATTATTTACCACATCTTAAGACATCACAGCCTATAAAATTCCTAAAAAGAACATTTTTCACACTAGTGTGTTCTTGAACTGCCAAGAAGGGAATACTATAAAATGACTGGAGGAGGGGGTACTGCCATTTACTGAATGCTAAAGACAGTAGAAATCTCATCATTTTCCAAGAATTATTGGGAAGAATAAGATGGAAATTACCTTTCTATTCTTTTACAGAATTTTATTCTTAGGTGAGACTACTTCATGTTTTTACACTTTTACAAATAGAATATCATGGGATCATTTTAGTGAGTACAAATCAGTATTTTAAGAGAAAATATCAGAATGCATTCGCAAGTTAAGTTATTCATGAAATTTGTTTCAGATGTAGGTGTGTATGTACTAGGTCATAAAAATTAGTTTTTGCTATGGCTAGTGGTCAAATTATGAAAAAACTTGATCTACTAAAGTTAATTATTTCACAAGTAAAGAAACAGCCCAGAGAGAAGTGATGTGGCCAAGACTGCATGGCATGTGTGTTAGTGAACATTGTCACCCTCACTCAAAATGGGCAACAAAATTGCCGCTTAGTCCTTTGCAAGCTCTTCGAATTCTCCTAGATTTGGATAGTATTATGTTTATATCATTTTGTAAGTTTGTGGGTATTTAAGGACCAATCAAAACCAAATACCTTTTTTCTACATTCATTCATTTATCAAATAGTGCATTTGCAGTGTTTAAAGTGAAACACGCAAAGTTTCTGAGGCTAGTTAGCTAAAGAAAATTGTTTTCAAGTTTCAAACTTCACTGAAATACGAAATATACTAATTAAATCTTTTTCCCCCCCAGAAGAAAGTTGTCTCTATTCTACATTTCATAGCCCAATTGTGGCTTGTAGGTTATTTTATCTAAGTGCTTGAGAATGGGGACACAATGGTCCTTACAATCTAATTATTAGAGAAATCTAACCCCCAAACAAGACAAAATGGCATAGAATTGTTAAGTCATGTGACACAGACTAAGTGCTAAAGGCTTCTAGGAGAAGGCACTATATAGTAAGGAAGGACACACCAGGTTGTGTAGAATAACACTCTGGGCACAGCCTGTTTTCAGACCCCAGCCTCAGGTGTTTCACCAGCCCAGGCTTCAGTTTTTAACCCTGGGGATAATAGTTCCCACCTCTTGAGGTGGTAATGAGGACTCAGCAATAATGCTTGCATTGTGCCTAGCCCTTGGGTCCTTAATAAATGATAGCGATTATCATCACCTAAAACTTCAAGTTTATAAAATTTTCAAATTTTCTAAGCCCCCTTAGAATGAAATGCTATTTTTCATTCTTTGCTATTAGTTTTATTAGACATCTAAAACTAACAAAGCTTTGGAAACTTAAAGAATTACCTTTTTTTTTTTGAGATTAGTAGAAGTGGAAGATTAGGAGGAGTGGAAGATTAGCTGAAGATGGAGGCCAACGTTGGGGTGATTGAGCTATTAAATAGAGAATGGAAGTCACTGTGTTTTCCAGACAATTCCAAGACTCTCCAACACTGTACCAGCAATAAAATAATAGGTTTCTATGATCTCTATTTTCCTTTGCCAAAATATGTACATCCTTCGAAGTTTGGTTCTCATGGAAATATATATGCAAGAACATACTGAAGATATAACTCAGTTAACAGAACTTCATTTTTTAGCCAATTTAAAGGAAAGAGTAATTGAAATTTGAATTTTCTATGTTCATGTGCCTTTACAAACACATCACATTAACAATTCCATGTAGGTGTAATTGTTTTATGGTATCGTAGGTGGACTTTTTTGTTTGTTTAATCAGCAGGGGAAAATGAAGCTAAAAAAACATAACATCAACCAATTAGCTGGGAAGGTGGAGCAGGCACGTGAACCCAGGTCTCACTGATCTCAAATTCCATTCTCCTTAAGGCTACTCCATGTCGGGGCATACTTCAAAAGGGCAAAGAGGGTCTTTGTAATCACTAAATGAATTTTCTTGCTCCTTTCTCATCTCAAGTGGGAATATTTCAATGGATATCAGAGAAACCTTTGCAGAATCTAGTCATCAAATTTCAATAGCATGAGAACATGAAACCAATCAAAGATGCATAATTTGTTACCGTATTGGAAGGGTGCTGTTAAGGGAAAACAAAACTTGTATTCTTCCTTTCAGGCCTCCTTGTTCTGCAGAAAGATCTTTGGCATGGAAAGCTGAGATGGGTTCTAGTTCTAGTTTTTGCCAACTTCATTGGGCTGGCCCTTAACACCCTCATATGGACAGAAAACGCTAGGAGGTTCCTTCCTGTGATTGTGTGATTTCATATATCTGTTAAAGGTGCTAACTATAAGGCAAAAGATCCCCCAGATTCTCTGTCAAAATAATTCTGAAAACGCCTGTCTTGAGATATACTGACAATAGTAGACTTGCCACAAGATGGTGAGTCCCTAGGACTTTGTGCCACGTTCACTGTGGCTGCAGCATTCAGAGAGGTGAATACCCACATCACACAGGAAGGGAAGAGTCCTGGGCTCAAGCCCCAAACCAACATCCAAGTCTGCTCTCATTTTCTCGGGCTGACTGCTCCAGTTTGAACCTCAGTTTTGTTCGCAGGATGAAGAAGCTGGGTTATATCCTCAGGCTTTTCTCAAGAGTGAGAATGTCATTACAGCCCAACACTCCTATGACTTAAGTTCGCACACATTAAACACATTAAACATGGCAGACTCAGTAGTTCAGCTGCGTGCTTTGTGAGGATGGCAAGCCCGTGCTATCTGCGTTTCTGAGAATAAATTGACAAAATGCTGAGTTCTAAAGAAGTATAAACTCATGATCACAAATATTCAACGTAAGACTTAGAAGGGCATTTTTGTTCTAGACACCGAAAATAACAGCACAATTAGCTAATTTGGTGCATTCAGGCATAATCCCAACATTTTACTAAAATCTTCAAGAGTCCAGACACACCAGTCCAGACCTCATGGTGATGTGCAATAATCAATGTGTCTTCTATTTCACCAAAAGATTTGGAACTTACTGCAATTTGTCCTTTTTATTTTTGACGTCCTGATTTTTCCAGACACTTTTTCTTTCTTTCAGTTAGTTGATCTTTGTACTACCACCAATTTTCAGTAAAAATAAGATGTCTAAAATATGATTTTATTTCCTGCATCAATTTCCAGTGCAAATGTGTATGAATGGTCACCGGGGGCTCCATTCCCAAAGACTTACTGTCTTTAGAGCCATGTTTTTCAAACTGCAGGTCAAAACCTATTTTAGAGGTTATTAATTAGAAGAGAATAAAAGAGTGCTTGTTGTAAGAGTAAATAGTGAAGGTAAGTAGTGTTTCACGGAACTTTCATTTCACTTGCATGCATATATGCGTACTGGGTTGCAATTTTAAATGTCTGAGGTTGGGGGCCTGAAGAGTTAAAAAAAAGTTTTGAAAGTTTGAAAGCCACTTGCTTTAGGTTATGTGGGAGAGGGGTTGTTGAATCAGTTAAGGGTTTCATGGGAGTGAAAAATACAATTGCAATACCCATCGTCTAAAAGTAAGTTACAGAGTTAGAACACTTACTAACCAACAATCACAGTTTATAGTAACTTGAAGAAAATCAAAATTTTAGAACAGGAACATGAAGCTGCCTTCAGAAAACAGGACATAAACATTCCTTTTTAATATTCAGTTGAGAGAGAAAGAAGAAAAGAGGAAGTTAGAAAGAGAGCATATGAAGACTAAAAGCCCATGAAGCTAAAACTGCTCTAAAAAATAGTCTAAAAAAGGAAAAGAAAAATTCTTCTTTCCTGTCCCCAAACCCTTCCTCCACCCTGTGGCAGCAGAGGGCAGGCTACTTAGGTTCAAAGCCCTGTTTCTGTTTTGCTACCACTGCTAAAAACTAACCTAACTCACATCTGAAAAAAATGAAACCTCCTGTTAGAAGGAAGAATTCTCCTTAATTACAAGTTTTTATACTTAACTCTCTTGCGTAGCTCAATTCTAAATTATAAATGTTTGCATACACAGTAAACGAGATCTTTTATTTAAATCTTAACTACATTTGGGTGATTTTGTTACCTCTAATGCCATCCTTCCACTGAGTAACACGTGTGTTAAATGAATAAGTAACCACATATTTTAAGAACTGTGATAGAATTTGAAGTTGAATTCAAAAGTTTGAATTAAGGAAATAAACCTAAGGAGAAAACAAGGTTTGCCACAACGTCACACAGGTAGCAATCAGAGAATTCCAGAGGTCTGGGAAAATAATTGTTCAATTGGAATATTTATTGAAATAACCACCAGCTTCTCTAAACATTTTAAACTTATTTTGGAATAATTTTAGATTTACAGGAAAGTTATAAGGATTCTCTAAACTTTTCTTCCTTCTTCTGTGGTTAGCTCTCTATTTCTACCCTTCTCTGTGCC